GCAAGTGACTTTTGCATATTGACCTTCTACCCTGTGACTTTGCTTTCTAGTTCCAGAAGTTTTTATTTAGTAGATTCTTTAAGGTTTTCTACATGTACAACCCTGTCATTTATGCACCAAGGCAGTTTTATATCTTCCTTTCCAATTTGTATACTTTTTATGTCCTTTTCTTTTCTTATGGCACTAGGCAGGACTACTGGTATCATGTTGAATAAGAGTGATAATGCCCAATACTAAGGTCAAAGTATCCGTTCTTTCATCATTCAGTGTGGTATTAGCTGTTGATTTTTATATATTTTCTTTATCAAGTTGACAAGCCCCCCTCAATTCCTAGTTTGCTGAGAGTTTTTATCACAAGTATATGTTGAATTTTATCAAATACTTTTTTTTTGCATCAATTGATATGATCACATATTTTTCTTCTTTAATCTGTCAGCATGGTGGAATACATTGACTGAACCAGCCTTGCAAACCTGGGATTGTATTTCTTTTAGTGTTTGCATCTGATTTTGGCATTAAAGTAATGCTGATCTTACAGAATGAGTTAAGAAGTATTCCCTCTCATATTTTCTGGAAGAGATTGTAGAGAGTTGGTATTATTTTTTCCTTAAATATTTGGTAGAATTCACCAGCAAACCATCTGGGCCTGGTGCTTTCTTTTTCAAATTGTTTATTAATTATTGATTCAATTTTAAAAATAGATATAAGGCTTTTTGAATTATCTATTTCTTCTTGTGCCTTGGTTCTTTATTTCTTTCAAGGAGTTGGTCCATTTCAGATAAGTCGTCAAATTTGTCAGCACTGAGCTGTTCATAGTGTTCCTTTACTAATCTTATAATGTGTTGGAATCAGTAGTGATGACCTCTCTTTCTTTTCTGATATTGATAATTTGTGTCTTTTCTCATTTTTTTCTTGGCTAGCCTAACTACAGCTTTATCAATTTCACTAATATTTTCAAAGAATCAGCTTCATTGATTTTCTCCATTGATTGTCTTTTTCTCAACACCATTTGTTTCTACTCTAATTTTTTATCATTTATTTTCTTCTGTTTGCTTTAGGCTTCAATTGCTCTTCTTTGTCTAGTTTCCTAAGATGAAAGCTAAATAATAGATTTTAGATCATTTTTCTTTTAATATATGAACCTAATGCTTTAAATACCCCTCTAATTTCTGCTTTTGCTTCACCTCTCAAATTTTGATAAGTTGTATTTTCATTTACTTTTAGTTCAAAGTATTTTTTAATTTTTGCCTGAGACTTGTTCTTCGATCCATGGGTTATTTAGAAATGTGTTGTTTAATTTCTAGATGTTTGTGAATTTTCCAGCTATCTTTCTGTTACTTATTTCTGGTCCTATTTCATTGCAGTCTGAGAACATTCTTTGTATTGTTTCTATTCTTTTACATCTGTTAAAGTGTGTTGTATAGCCCAGAATGTGGTCTATTATGGTGATTTTCTATGTGAACTTAAGAAGCGTGTGTATTCTTGTCATGGGGAAGAGTGTTCTATAAATGTCTCCTAGATCAAGTTGCTTGATAGTGCTGTTCAGGTCATCTATATCCTTACTGATTTTCTTCTTGATTGATCTATTTATTACTGACAGAAGGGTATTGAAGTCCCTGTTCCAAAAAACTGGATTTGTCTTTCAGTTCTATCAGTTTTTGTCTCAGATATTTTGACACTCTCTTGTTAGGTACATACACGTTTAGGGTTGTAATGTTTTCTCAGAGAATTTTTCATTATGTAATGCCTTTATCATTATTTAATGCCCTTCTTTAACCCTGAGAATCTTTCTTGTTCTGAAGTCTGTTTTCTCTGAAGTTAGTATAGATACTCCATCTTTTGATTAGTGTTAGCATAGTACATCTTGCTCGATCTCTTTACTTTTAACTTAATGAAGACTTCATCTTTAAAGTGGGTTTCCTTTTTTTTTCTTCAGAGAATGGTATTTTATTTTAAGACAATTTTTTGGCCATGGTGTTTTATTGATTCTTCCATGATGGTATCTTCTTCTTCAAAAGTGATCAGGACCTTCTTGCATACCAGGCTAAAGATGTCTTCAGGAGAATAGCCTTTGGGCTCACCTTCCTTCACAGTAAGGATGCCCAGTGTTAGAATGATGCTTTCTGAAATTTTCTAAAATGAGTTTCTTGTGGACAACATATGGTTAGGTCTTTTTTCACTCTGATAATCTCTGTCCTTTAATTGGTATATTTAGACCATTCACATTTAAACTGATTATTGTTATAGTTGGATTAATATGTACCATGCTTGTAACTGTTTACTAGTCATTGTATTTGTTCTTTGTTTCTACTATGCCCTCTCTTTTTTTGCCTTCTTTTTTTAAAAAAAATTTTTTAAAGGTATGCTTTTTTTTCTCTTTTTGGTGAGGAAGATTGGCACTGAGCTAACATCTGTTGCAATATTCCTCTTTTTTTCCTCCCCAAAGCCTCCCAATACATAGTTGTATATCCTAGTTGTAGGTTCTTCTAGTCCTTCTATGTAGGACGCTGCCTCAGCATGGCTTGATGAGTGGTGCTAGGTCTGTGCCCAGGATCTGAACTTGTGAACCCCAGGTTGCCAAAGCAGAGTGCACCAGCTTAACCACTTGGCCACAGGGCTGGCCTACCTTCTCTTGTTTTAATTGAACATTTTATATGATTTCATTTTATCTTCTCTCCTAGACAATCAGTTGTTCTTTCAAACAATTATAGTGGTTGTTCTGGAGTTTACAATGTACAATTTTAGCTAATCTACACCCCCTTCAGCTAACACTATATCGCTTCACATGGGCAGATACCTTAAAATGGAGTGTTCTCAGTTCCTTCTTCTCATCCCTTGTGACATTGCTGTCATTCTTTTTATTCACCCATATGGTATAATGACTCAATACATTGTTACTATTATTGCTTTAAACAGTTATCAGTTAAATCAACTAAGATTAAGACAAATAAAAGTTTTATTTTACCTTCATTTATTCCCTCTCTGATGCTTTTCCTTTCTTTATATAGATCCAAGTTTCAAAGTTATTTTCCTTCTGCCTACAGAACTTCTTTTATTTCTTCTGGTGATGAATTCTTTGTTTTTTTTTTCTGAGAAAGTCTTTATTTATCCTTTACTTTTGATGAATAATTTCATTGAATATAGAATTCTAGGTTGGTAGGGCTTTTCCCCCCAACACTCTAAATATTTCACTCCACTTTCTTCTTGCTTGCATTGCTTTTAACAAAAAGTCCGTTGTAATTATTATCTTTGTTGCTCTATAGGTAATGTATTCTTTTTTTCCTATAGATTCTTTTAAGATTTTCTTTTTGTTTTTGGCTTTCTGTAGTTTGACTATGACACACAGCTATGTATGTGAGGGGTTGCAGTTGTTATTTAGTTTTCTTACTTATCCTGTTTGGTGTTCTCGGCCACCTAGGTCTGTAGTTTGTCTGGCATTAATTTTGGAAATTTCTTGATCATTATTCAAATATTGCTTCTGTCCATTCTCACTTTCTTCTCCTTCTCATATTCTTATTACATGTATGTTATACTTTTTAGTCTTGTCCCACTTAGATATTCTGCTCTGGTTGTCTTGTCTCTCTTTTTATCTCTTTCCATTTTAGTTTGGGAAGTTTCTTTTGACACATGTTCAAGCCCACTGATTCTTTCTTCAGCCATATTGACTCTACTGATAAGTCCATCAAAAGTATTCATTTTTTATGTTACTGTGTTTTTTATTTCTATAACTTCCTCTTGATTCTTTCTTGAAGTTTCTATCTCTCTGCATATATCCTCCATTGTTCTTGCCTGTAGTCTACTTTTTCCATTACAGCCCTTAACAATAATCATAGTTATTTCAAATTCCCTGTCTGGTAATGCCCATATCTATGTCACATCTGAGTCTGGTTCTGCTGATTGCTTTGTCTCTTTAGACTGTGTTTTTTCTTACCTTTAGAGGGTTGATATTAATCTGGTTAGAAGTTAGGCTGTTTTACACATATCCTGAACATATTGGTGCCAGAGTCTTCAAATGCTAGTGTGGCTTTAGTCACTCTTCCTTCCTGTCACAGTAATGAGGTGGGAAAAGGGTGCCATTTTTTAAAAAGCTGGGAGGCCAGTGTGGTAAACTGATTACAAAACAGCCTTGATTTTCCTTCTCTGTACTCATGCTCTTTGCAATATGTGCAGTCACTCTCATCAAGAAGTGGAATCTACATCTCCACCCCTTCAATCTGGGCTGGTCTGTGACTTGTCTAAGCATCAGAAGTGTCTATCCTGGATCTAAGCCTAGGCCTCAAAGGCCTTACACACTTCTGCTCTCTCTCTTGCTCCTCTGCCTTCACCATGGGAACAGGCTGGAGCTAGTCTGTTGGAGGATGAGACACATGGAACAAAGAGATTCTTCCTAGCCAAGGCCATCCTACGTCTGTCAAAGGCCAGTCAACTACCCAATAGGTAAATGAGTCCCAGCTGTGATAGAAACACTGCAAAGATCAGCAGGACCACCCTGCCAACCTACGGACTTGAAATAAATGATTTTTTTAAGCCACTGAGTCACTGAGTTTTGGGCTGGCTTGTTATACAGCATTATTGTGGCAATAGATAAGTGTTCCAACTGGGTACTCTCAGTATCTTACGAGATTCCTAGCTTTGTGACATAATCTGTTTTTTAAGTTCACCTACACTAATACCTTGTTTCAAATCCCTTAAAAGACTAGCTTGAGGGATTAGAGCACCCTGCCTTAGGGCAGGAGTATACGAAGCAGTACCCTGAGGGTCCCTTTCATCTGGTAGCAGGTAGCAATTTATCCATTTGAAATATTTCAAAACATTGTCAGCCTTGCCTTAAAGCCCCAGGAATGTAATGATTCACCTCTGTTCTTTTCTCTTTTGTCTGAGACATGTAAAGTGGTACTGCTTGGTTCTAGCAGAAACACCAAAGTAGATGCTGCAATCACAGACCCTAGTTTGAAGATCATTTTATAGTAATCTATTGTTGTCTTTCTTTTTTCCACTAGATTGGGCACTTTTCAAGAGCCAAGATCATTCATCTGTGTCCCCAGCACCCAGAAAAATGCCTGGCATAGAGAAGATATTCAGCAAATGTTAAAAGAATTAATGAATCAATGAGTTAAGCATGTCAAGACATTCAAATCTAAGAGAAGGTGTACAGAGAGGATAGTGTGGGTATCAGAGATGACAGATGTTGGAACTGGCTCACAGACAAAGAAAGTGGACTTTCTAGGAGGAAGGAGGAAGCTGCTAAGGCAAGATGTTGCCAGGAATAATAACTAGAATCTATGAAAGATGTGAGAGTGGTTACTGCTTAATCATGGCAGAAATCCAGAAAATCTGAGGTAATGGGCAGGGATGAAAGCTAGAGTGTTTTTTCTTGGAAAACTAGCTTTGAAGAGGCCTGTGAATAGGTTCCTTTGATCTTCCTTTCCTTACAGCTCTATCTAGGGATGACGTCTTCCTTATCTTCAATCCTGTCCTTGGGGCAGGTGAGGGTCACAGTGTGTACTCTCTACCACAACACAGGAAGAAGTCTTGAGGCCCGTTGGCATCCTCCCTGGATGTCACAATAATAAACGCATACAGCTAATGGCCCCTTGAATCACTGAGATAAATTGTCATATTTCTGGAATTCACAAAATTATAATTTTTTATTGTTGTCATCAGGTTTGGAGAACTGACATAGAGTTGTAAATGTCTCCTTTACCAATCAAGTAGGAATGGAATAATATCATAATAAAGGTCAGTATTGCCAAAAGTGTTGCCCCAAAAAAGTCAGTATTACCTTAGACTCATGTATATATTATGCATTGTCCTCATTTTTCCTATTTTGTCCTCAACCAGTGAGAGCATTATTCTGGATCTGTACCAGTCCATGTGTTGGAAACTTCTGGTATAAAGAATGGACAATTTTAACTAGGCCACAAGAACAATCTTAGGGCTTTCATGGACTACAGCAATAAAAGAAAGAAATATAGTCTGTCTGGAGTTAATCCTCTCTGTATTTCCTCTATAATATTACCTCTATAATAAGGACAGTGACTTTCCTGAAGTCCAGCTGACAGACTCTACCTGTTGTACTTCAATAAGGAGCTCTTTGTCAAACCTGAGTGTGCCCCAAAATTAATCCTCAGGATGATGAGAGGATTTGAAACCATGTTATATAACAAACTAGGACTTTTGAGCTGAGAAAAGACTTAGGTGTATTTACATGGTGGAGGGGACAGTGGTTAAATGGTGTAACTTCTGAACTATCTGCCTAGTATACAAGCCAATGACTTCCCCAGCAACCTTCCTCCAACAACCAAATTATGATCTTGCTTCCTTAGCCCTGGCTGAACAAAGCTAAGGCAATCAACTCTCTCCCAGAGTTTAGAATTGAGACTGAGCTACTCCAAGTAGTTTTTGGCTAAGGGAGTGTCAAGAAGAACTTCTAATAGAAAGAGCTCTTTAAAATCAAAAAGACTTCTCAGACTGCAAGTATATGTTCTTTATCTGAATTAAATCCCTTCTTTTCCCTTTCACTTCCTAAGTAGAGAAACTAAGTAACCATTTGCCAAGGTTCCTAGCCTGAGGATTCATATATCAGAAAATTATTTAGATCAGATAAAACCTAAAGAAGCTACAAACTCCAAGAGGCTGTAATACATTGAGATGATTTCAGGTGATTCCATGGATGGCTGTTTTTATTTTAATAAAAACTTTATTATGCTGGTTAGTTTCTTTTCATACATTTCAGTGAAAAAAAATACTTCTAGGACACCAAGCTCATGAATTCGTGAATATTGTTTAGAAAAAGTCCTCATATATTTAAGAAAAAGATGAGTTTAAAGACAAATATTACATGAATAATAGTATATAGTCAGAAAATAAGGAAATGACCATGGTAGTGAGTCACAAAGGAGGCTCAGGCACTCCCAGTTTTCAACAGAAGCAACTGAAATGTTAATGCTCTTTGATCTCACTGGTAAAAATTCTGGTCTAATAACTTCTGATTGTTCTATGCCTGTCTCAGCCTATCAATAACCAATGCTGTAGTTGGACCAGCCCTTGTGGTTCTTATTATGATCGCAAGATGCCCTTCAGCAACAACCATCAGGAAATTTGGAAAAAATAAAGGTTATGACTTAGAAGACCTGGAAATTACACAGCACACTTGGGGTAACACAGCGAAGGGGCGGGGGGGGGGGGGGGACACGAGAGAGGGAGAGAGAGAGAGAACGAGCATGGGCCTGAGGTTCTGCTTTTATTGGGCTTGATGGTGGGGGCCTAGGGGTATTGTGGGATCGCTCTTTATTGGTGAATTTAAAACATAATAGCGGGAATTTAAAGCATAGGAAGAGAAAAAACAAGTAGCCCAAATGGTCAGTTATTGAAATCAACCAAGATCTCTAAAACAAAGGAGCCTCAGTAGAGGGAGGCAGCCTGGCTCTTTATCTAGTTGTGTGGCTGCCAGTATGTTCCTTCAAGATAGCCCTCTTTGAAGTGGATGCCTCAGCAATCAAAGCGTAAGTCAAGCATTTGCATTACAAAAAGAAAAGCCGACTGTCAGGGTTTACTCTATAATCCATCCTGTGATGGGGAGGCATCAGAGTCAATGTGAGGACACTAACTGCCTGGGTAACTGATCTGCTAAAAGTCAGAGGTAGGGCATGTTGTACTCAGAAAATACACATCTAAATAAGATGATTCTAGCAAATCCTATAGTAATTATGTAGGCAATAGTCTGAAATCCAGTTTGTAGCCATTGTCACAAACTTGAAGGGTCCAGCCATGAAAATAAATTAGTGATCTTGGGGTCCTGGGAATTTGTTTAAGGTTTTGGGTAATACTGTGAAATGTTTTAACTTATTAGGCTATCTGGTCTAAGTAGGTTTGAACCTGTCCTGAGTTAGTAGATTTCTCCATATCTCATTGAACTAGTCTCTTAGTCCTGAGGATAGGTCAGTTAAGTTAAAGGGATGTGTCTCATTTCAGGAGGTGGTGATGCAGGTGGGCTCCCAATGGTAGGCCTCCATGGTGTAAATATTTGCATCAGGTTATTCAATAAAAGGCATTTCTATGTAAACAAGAGAAAAACAACAGTTAATGGTTGAAGCAGATATAAACCCAGTCTGAGTCTTGAGGGTGGATGGTTGAGAAGATTTCTAGATGTTGGGTTCAAAGCATCTTCAGGTGGATTGAGGGCAGGCAGTGGCAACCTGATAGGTTTTCCTGGTTTGCAGATTGAATGTCTGGTGATTTTTCTGAGTGGCTCATATAGCAACGGGCATGATTATTGTCCATATATGAGCTGTTGTGGTGATCTCTCTGAAGTTTATATCAAGTTGTCCCACTTTAGCTAGCATGGCTTTGGGAAAAGGACACTTTTAGTTCTCGATGATTCAAAGTAAGAAGGGTGGAAGAAAAATTGGAAACATTAGCTTGCCAAGTTGTAGCCAGATATTGGGGAAAATGAGAAGAATTCAGAATTTTGTCCAGTTTACAGGTAGAAAACAAACCTTCAAAGACAATTAACAGAACTTAGAATCAAATATCCACAAGTGTGTATTGTAGTTTCTACTGAAATGTAATTTTTCTCTGCACAATCACTGACATTTCTATCAAAGATGACAACAGTAAGACTAATTTATTTGCAAATCAAGTCTAGTTTCAATAAACTTAAGAATAATGATTGACTTCTTAAAGTAAATGATGAATGAAATAGCCTTCTTAAAGTCTGCTTTGCAGGAATCTTTCAAAAGGACTCTCAGATTGAACATTTAAAAGCCTCTCCAGGCTAAGAAGCTAAGCCAAGAAATCATTAGACTTCACCCGGAATACCTGTAGGTTTAGGTGAGTTCCTCTCTTCTCAGGGCCCAGAAAGCATCCTGAGGTTCCCAGGCCTACCAGAAAGCGACCTTCCTTATTTACTTGGTAAGGCTGCTGAAACCCTGTAAGCAAGGTACCAAGCCAATTTTTCCAAGAGGCTTTATTGGCTCCATAAAGTCAACCTTAGTTCCTTAAGGAGGTCTGATCATATCTGAGTCTATGTATGTCTCTCTCAAATATGATATCCCAGTCAAAGCCTTGGGAATATAACCAAATTTTCAAATTGTGTCCTGTTAGAAGGAGAACAGATTTTTATTATATTTGTGAAAATAACTGTATTACAATGAAAATAAGAATATTCACTGAGAGTTTCTGAATTCCGGTAGGGAGAAAATTCTTTCATCTTCCCAAAGGTATACTTTACCAAATTGCTGTAAGTTATAGCTATCTTAAGAAAAAAAGTTACTTAAATCTGGAAAACAAAAGATTAGATAACCAGCAATGTTTCAAACAAGTCATAAAAAATGGTAATCATCTTCATCAGTTCATTTAGTCCTATATAATTATTGATTTTGATCTTTGGTTAGGAGTTTTATTAATCCAGTTCTTTCTTAGAGTTATGTAAATTCTTACCCAGTTCAGTGGTATGATCTGAAAATTATCAGAAACCTGTACTTGTCAGAGTCCTTTCCATGAATCTCCTTTTAGATGAAGCACTTTTGTAAAAGCATCAGAGTAACACAATAACTGTCTGTAAATGACAAAAGACTTAAAAATGTCCATGGTTCAAGATTTGATGAGAGTTCATTGTAATGTAATTGACAAGGAAATTTGGTAATTTTGGTGAGACACAACATTTTAAGGTGAAAACTGGAAATATGATTGACAGTATTACATATCAGATTTTCAGGAATTTCATATAATTTCTGGAACATTTATATTAATGACATATTCACACAAGGATATCCATAAAGAAGGTGTAGCATTTTTTTAAATTTGACAATGCTTCACATATAATTTAAGATATCAAATAAACCTAATTAGTTTAATGTCTCTCTTTTTATAAAAAGAGAGAACAAATCTTTTGAGATGTTCCAGGGACCCTCTGGAAAGTCCCAAAGTTACTTCCAGGTCAAAAAGACAATTTAGAATTTGATTTTTGGAAGCTTGTCAAAAATATTAAAAGGTTTTGGACACTTGACTAAATAGCATCACAGATTGTTATGAAACAATGTTTAATTATCTGCTTAACCACAGTGACAAAGATTTTAAAGGCAAATGCATAAGGTTGCATAGTTGTGAGCAAAACTTAGCTCTTTTCATATCGGGAAGACTCAGTTTTCTTAAGTAATCAAAGACCTGATTGAGACAACATGAAGTATAGGAAATTATTTTGATAAAACACAAAATCTTTGCTTTATAGCCAGATTACTTAAAAGATAAAGAAAGACATTTCATAATCTCTTATCAGGATCAGACCAGTATCCTAAGAAAACTGTCAGTTTATAAGATGAAATAAAATTACATAAGCATACTATTGATAGTAAAGCTTTTTTATAAAGCATTTATAATAGCAATCCAATTTTAGCCAACTTGTCTACACAAGTTAGAATTTGCTCTCTCTGTCTCTCTCTCTCCCCATGATCTTGCTCTGTGGCCCCAGGTGTGCTGTGTAATTTCCAGGTCCTGTAGGTATTAAATCTTTATTTTTTCAAAGTTTCCTGATGCCTATTGCTAAAGGGCATCTTACAATAATAATAAGAACGACAAGGGCTGGTCCAACCACAACACTGGTTATTGATAGGCTGAGACCAGCACAAAACGATGTTATATATAATAAACCCAACAGTGAAGTCCACTGAGGCACTGGGCTTTAAGAAACTGGCTTGAATGATTCAGAGAGGAGTAATATTAGCTAACATTTAAGTGGTTAGGATCTGTCAGGCATCATATTAAGTGCTTTACAAGTATTAACTCATTTGATTCCTGCAACAACCTTGTGAAGTATGTCATTATTATTATGTCCATTTTCCAGATGGGCCAACTGAGGCACAGAGAAGTTAGCAGCTTGTCCAATTATCTGCCTCTTGTAAGTCACAGAGAACTTGCTTTTTCTTGAACAAGTCTCACAGTCCGGTCTGCTTATTTTGAATTTAAACTGGATTTTGGTTTCTGGGTGTTAAATTTATTCATTTTTAACTCCCTAGTATTAGCACATGCCTGGTACTTGGTAAAAAGAAAAAGAAACAGAAACAGAAAAATGAGTGAGTAAAGGAATAGGTGAAAGGATGGTAGTGGTTTGAATGGCCCTAAAATTTTCTCCACATTTGGTTATTTCTCCTTTTAAAACCATAGGATCTAGGCAACTCAATCAAAGAACTGAACGAAGTCCCCAGCCAAAGACCTCCTTCTTCTCATAGGCTGAGCTGTGGTCAAAGCTTGGACTTGGAAGACCCTCAACTCAGCTACTTAGAAAACACAAGATAAGCTGAGGGTTTGAGTTGCCTCTGATGCCTTAAAATGACCACTTTAGCCACTGATACCCTGGGGCCCTTTCAATTTGACTACCTCATTGCTGCCATAGTTCTCTTGCCCTATCACTCCCCTCTATTAAGAATGATCCCAAGACCCAGAAGAACTTCTTCCCAAAGGTCAGTTCTTCCACCAAGTGGAAATGTCTTAGTTACTACAAAGTTGCCTGGTAGGCTTGAGAGAGGGTGTGGAAAGGGGAGTAGGGACAGTGACACTTGAGACCTGTCTTGTACATGCCCAATACAGCCTCCATTACTTCAGGGACCAAGGATCTCAGGTTGGGGCTCTTTGCTATAAAGTGAGTGGGATATTCCCTGATTTCTAAGTTGTACACTGTGCTTGGCAGTTAGTCCATTGGTACATGATTCAGG